ACTCTAATTTTCTGCTGGCTTTAGGGAAATGGTTTCCTTTTTAAGATCATAGAAGGGTTAGGTTCTAGGCAAAAAAAAAAAAAAAAAAAAAAAAACCATTAGAAGGTACAAAGCTGTGTGAAAAATAACACTACCTGCTGATATCTGTCTAATAAAAAGGTTAAAACTAAGGAACACTTTGGGAGAAGAGCTGAAAGGATTATAGGGCTATCCCTGACCCATCCTTCTTCCTTTAGTCATCAATGTTCTTCACAACTTAGAATTATAATTTTATTTATATTCTTAAAAATACGAACTAAAATCACAGATTTGAAAAGTGTTAGAGCTATATCAAATCTCACCCCTCAATGAGAATATAGTGGACTACATAATGAGGGAGTAGAAACCTCCTCAGAAATGCTGGAGAAAATTTAATAAACATCCTTTAAAATATACAGCTGAACTGTCAAGAAAGTAGGGGCAATACCCAGGGTCTAATAATGAATAGGACTGAAAAGGAATAAGCTCCATGTGGTCACTGACACTATCCTATAGGCTTGCTGGCCACAGAAGAGCTTGCATTCCAATGCCAGAAAGAAGCGGAAGCCTTAGAGCCCGTAACACAAGGAACTGAAGAGGAGAACCGCCAAAACCAGGATTCTTGAAAAATGCATCCTCAGTGAAAGGAAATTAGGAAAAAAAAAATCTGCCTGTTGGCATAGGAACATGACAAGGAAGGTTTTCTGTCTCAGTCTGGACTCAGTGGAGGTAAATTTGTATTCTGCACAATCTGTAATCAAGACACTGTCCACAGCTGGGTTTGGGATTTGAATTTACATTGTCTTCTTACTATGGGAAGAATCAAACTAAGAAGTTAACCTAAAAAATGATCCTAAAAACAGACTTTTCAGGAACTTAAAAGAAATGAATTCAAAAACTTGCCAGAGACAGTTCCGAACACAGGCAAAATAAATAAAGCCCCATAGAAGATGTGCTCAAAATAAAAAATTTGAAAAGACCTCATGCATACTGTACCATGAATGAATGCCAATAGTAGGAGATAGGTCACTGTGGTGACAGTGGAAGGATCTGAAAAACCAAGACTAAAGGGAGCTATGACAGTAGTCAAAGAAAGAAACAGGGGACTAAACCAGGGTAGTGATTGCAGGCACAAAGAACAGTGGACAGAATGAAGAAATGTTTATGGACAGAAGTAAGAAATTATTTATAAGCAAAACTATAGAGCGTGGTGACTGACTGTGGGTTCAAAAGCGCTGGGAAGAGTCTCTGATCCCTAGGTTTCCAGTTTGAATGATGGATAAACAAAGAGATCACAAAATGAGATAAGAAATGTGAGAGGAGGTGTTAGAAGGAAGAAGCTAAATGCAGTTTGGCCCACATTAGATTTGAGGAACATCTTTACTAAAAAGGTTGACTAATAAGACATTGGCTATAGTAATCTGAAACATCTGGGTTAGAATTATAGATTTCCAAGTTATCAGAAGAAATAATGCCTATGAATAAAACTGTCCTAGAACAGTAGATAGCACTGCTTTTTTTCGTCAGTCAACAATGGACAAAATCCTGAGGAAGAGCAATATTTATGAAAGGGTGAGAGGATGGAAACAAAATCCAATTAGAAACAGTCAGAGGTTTAAAAGTCAGAAGGGTACACAGTCACAGATACAGAATACAGAATTTCAAAAAGAAAGAACAGATTGTTCCTGTTTAACACAGCACCGATAATGAATAAGATTTGAAAAATGTTTATTGCATTCAGCAGTTTGGTTATTGTTGGTATATTTAGGAAGACAGTGTTTCATGACAGTAGATAGTAAGATGGGTGAAATTTAGCCTGCAAAAAGTTGAATGGTAAATGAAGAATCTGGGATTAGAAGAGGGGAGGAGAGGAAGGGAGGAGAGAGAGAAGGGAAGAGAGGGAGAGGGAAAGAGAAAGGAAAAGGAGGAGAAAAGGAGAAAGAATGGAATGAAGAGAGATAGAAAACACCAATATATGCATAACCACTGAGTAAGAAAACTGAAATAATGGAATAGAACAAAGAGTTCAAGATAGAATTCAAAAAAGTTTTCCTGAAATAAAGAAGCGTGAATCTTATATTGAAAGAGTACATCATATCCCAAGAAAAACAATGCAGTAAAGTTGCTGGATTTCAAAAATAAAGAAAAAGCACAGAGAAAAGATCAGTTAATCAGGAGAGGAAAAAAAAACTGAGGTTACCCTATGGCTCAGTGGTAGGGCGCTGGCCCCATATACTGAGGGTGGTGGGTTTGAACCCAGCCCCAGCCAAACTGC